TTGTTAATCAGGCCATAAAACATCAAATTGTGGACAAACTCCTACTACAGTATGAACATCTTCCATAGAGTTATGAATATTATATCCACACACTGTTGCAGAACCTCCATTTGGTTCCATTAATCCTGTTAACATTGAAATAGTAGTAGTCTTCCCTGCACCATTTTGACCTAATAATCCAAATGTTTCATTACCAACTTCAAGACATAATTGATTTACTGCAACTTGAGTATTTCCCATTTGTTTAAATGTTTTTATTAATCCATTAATAATAAGTGGTGATTTTGGATTCCACTCTCTTTTTTGAAACTTTTTATATTCTTTTTGTACATCACTATCTTCTGATTTCGGATTTTTAATTTTTGATTCTCCAAGATTATTTCTTTTCCTATTCAGCCATTTTAAGAAGAATAATGGACTTTCAGGAGTTCCATATTTTCTAGGAAGAACCATATCACAATATAATCCAATAATAAGTAATATTAGTGGCCATCCATATAATGATACAAATACTGGCCAATAAATAGAACGATAATTTACAGTTTTAAATATTAATAAATCACTATTCATTCTTTCTAATGCTTGAACAAATGCAAATGGTGGATAAATACAATACCATTCACCATTAGTTGCTGTTGTTGTTCCTAAAAATTCTCCAATAACAACACTTAATCCAATCGCAACTGTTACAACTGTTGATGCTATTGCACTGTCATCAAATAAAGAATTTAATAATGGAATAATACATACTTGACATAGTCCATATCCAGCAAAAACTCCTAATAATAATCCCCAATTTACATCTAAAATAAATGTAACACCAAATAATACTCCTAATAAACAATATAATATGAATTGAATCAAAAATATACAAAAGAAATAAACAATATGAAGCACCCAATATGGTGTCATTTTCATTCCTAACATTTTCATCATTTCCCTTACTCTATTACATTTATCATCAACTACAATATATAACCATTGTGGCATTGATAATGAAAAAACTATTGGTGTATATACAAAAAATAAAATTGAGTCATACATAACATCATAAATTTTTGCTGGTGGTATTCCTCCTATTCCCCTTACTAATTGACTTTTTGCTTTTTCATTATTTATTAATGCATTTGACCACCATTGCATTACAAATGTAGTACACCTTTTGAATGGATCTTCATCCATAACAAATAATGAATACAATACTTTTAATGTAATAGACTTATTCATTCCTATTGTGTTTAAGTTTTCTAAAATAACTGCACTTTCTGGAATTGTTTGAGATCCATCATATGGCGCTGCATCATAATCAGTTTGAATTTGTCTGATTCGAACCATCATATCATCAACACCTTTATCTTGAAATTGATAACTAGGATAACACCCACTACTATTTTTCATTCTTGGTATAGAATCTAATATTGTAGTATTACTTGAACATTGAGATGGGTCTTGAGTACCAATATAATCACCCGCATACCATCCCCTTGGTGGGTTCATCATTTTCCATCCATCATCATAACAAGCATCTTCAGGTGTATTATAAATTATGTATGGTAATTTACTTTGTTCTCTATCTGCTCTCATAATCAATACAATAATTCCACATAAAATAATAACAATTAATGGTAGTAATTGACAAAATAATGCACATTTATTTCTAAATAACAAGGTTAAATTTTTCATTAATAACGCATACGCCTGTGATGTAAAGGTCACTTTCTTTGCTTGTGTCCCTTCCATTATTGAATACAATAAATGAAGAAAGAACTTTATTTAATCTTTTTCTTCATCTTTTTTATTCTTTAAAATTATTATTTTTTCGTTAATAATTGATGATGTGTTTACCAAATTTAAAAGGGTTTTTAAATAAAAAAAAATAATAAACTATTTTTGAAAATAACATTTTAAATTAAAAGTAATTTTTTGTTATTACTTCTCAACAATAATTTTTAAATTATCTTAAATAAATCCAATTACCAGTCTCTCACAACACATTTATTAGAATGAACACAGAATTGTAATGGAGTAGCATCAATGATTTTACTATCAAAATGAGCCATTAAGCTCATAGCAGCAGAATAACAAGTGTGTGGTTTATCCGAGGCTTTACAACGAGCTAAAACCATTCGAGCAATTTTATTTTTAGACTTTCCATTTCTTGCTTGTCTCAAAATAAATTCAGCTAAATTAACACAAACTTTACATTTTTGTTGATCTCCTTCAATTCCATCAACAATTCCATTATAACATTTTCCATGTGCTAAATTAATTTCTTTAATAATTTCATTAATTTCATCTTTAAAGTCTTTAAACTCTTCTTCTCTAATGCCCATTCGTTCTTTTACCATTTTAATAGTTTTTTCATATAGACCTCTATTTCCTTTACATACAATACTGTCTTCTTCTTTTTTTAATCTCTCAATTAAATCTTCTAATTTACCATGTTCAAATCGATATTCATTACTTCTTTTTGCCATCATTTGATCAAATTGATATTCCATC